AACACGAGCCGAGCCTGGGCTCGCTCGTGTTCAGCTCGTTTAGCCATGCCTGCTTATTTTTTTTATATATATATTTTGGGTTGCCAGAGGAATCTTCCGCTTAGAAGTGTTTTTTTCCCCCTTGTTTTTCCTACCCTCGATGATTTTTTTAAAATATTTTGAGCTTGACATCGACAAGCGTACGGAAATCTCAAGCCATTACCAAATTGTTAAAAAAATAAATAAATAAAAATGAAATGAAATTTGGCAAAGTTGTCATGTGATAGGGAGATTTTATCACGTGGATGTGCTTTTTCTTGATATTTTTATTAAATTTATTTTTTTAAAATTTATTAGAAGATTTTCTAGGTAAATTTAAGGGGTTCTTTGTTTGATGAAAAAGACATATAATGTAAGAAAAAAATGTTATAGAAAAAACGATGTTGTAAGATATATTCATTTAGAATCATTATTGCACTTGTTGCATATTTTATTTTAGAGTTATATCAAATATATGTGAAATTTATTTTTCATGATAAAGATCAAGAGGGGAATTATATGAAGCAACCATAATGATTCTCTTCGAAATATTATTAATATTTGATTTACAAGTTTAGGAAATCTATATATGAGTTATAACAAACCTCTTGTTGGAAATACTTGATGGTCCATAATTGACGACTCTTCAAAATAGAAAATAAATAATAACAACCATAAAAAGATACCTTAGGGCGTCAACAAAAGGTGTGTGGGTGGTGGCTGTCAGCAAGTAAATATGCTGGTAGGAGGTGGTGGTGTTAGTAGGGTAGTTGGAAGGTGGTTTTGGCAGTGGAAGGGTTGGGGTGGCTACCGGGAGCGAGGAGCTGGGAAGGGCTGGATGGATTGGAGGGTAGGGAGGGCAGTTGGAGATGTGGGAGGGGAGGTGGCAACAACAGGTGAGGCGTGGTGACGAATTGCGACAACATGGGGGGTTGGGTTTATCATTGATGACAATGGGAGATTAGTTTTTTTGGAGGTGGTAACGGGAGAGGAGGTTGCAGGTGGGGGTGCGGGTGAGAAAGAAGCAGAGAGGGTTGGATGGGAGGATGGAAGGACATGGAAAGAACATGAGGGTTGACGGCTGGAAGTAGGGAAGTGCAGGGTAAATAACTTGTGGCAAGTAGAGGGGATGCAGAAGCAGTAGACAACAAGAAAAAAAAGGGGGGAGGATATGCACCACCTCGAGATGAGTTACAGCCGATACATCCCTATAAAAGAAAAGCGGAAAATCAGAGGTTCTCTAAATAAAAATCTTAACAAAAAATAAACCCTAACAGAGCTAACATTATATTTATAATTAAATATAACTATGAGAGGGGGAATCCCTCCTCTCGAGCAGCAACCCCAACCCTAAACAGAGTCGAGTTCAGTTCAACCTCTCTATTGAACAGGTTTTGCTGGTTCAGGCCACCGGCCTCCTTGTCAGTATTACTAATAAAATTATCTAATTTACAATAATTAATCTTCTAGCAAATTTTCAAGTCATTAGCTTGTCCCGAATTATGTGTTATTTGACTCCAGAGATAGGTGGGCCAATATATGCTTCATTTTTATTTTGTATTTGGGCAATTTTAACGATCAGAGCGCATTTATATAGTCTATTTTGCAAGTAGAACTTATTCGAGTACACATTCAATGCCCGTTAAGAAGTATTGAGTCTAATTTACACGTGTAGTCTATCATTTTCGTCGTGTTTGGTCTCAATCATAAAATGTCCCTTTTTTAATGATTTTGATGCTCCCAACATGCTCGTGTCATATATTTTATGAATAATCAAATAGATTTGGGCATGAATAAGACATCTCGACATTGACTTATGTGACATTGTATTCTTCTTATGTTATGATTGTCACCCTCAATTGAATCAAATATGATGCATAAATGTAAGTCAACAATGGCATCGATAAATATTTAAGTTTGATTGTTCAAAAAATAACTTAAGTTTTAAATTTATAAGTAGAAGAGATTTTGGTATCATACCTGCCCGTAGTCCCCATTATTTACTTAATAACTACATAAATTTAAACTTTTTAATAACTTGAATTAAATGCATGTTCATGACTTGTAAAGTGTGTTCATAGATTTAAGGCATAATTAAGATAAACAAAGAAAATTTAACTTTTAGGTGAACTTTTGTTTGCTGCATGGGTGAGTGTATTTAATTAAGAAAAAAAAATAATTAGAGAATGAGGGTTTTCGTAAAAACGCCTATAGATTAGTTGATTGTTTTAATTAAAATGCTAAAGCAATGGGCTTTTGAAAAGAAGATTTCAAAATGCCTCCTTTAAAGGCATTTTTTTCTAGGGTTATTTGGTCGACTTTAAACAGGATGTATTGCATTCTCTTTGGAGGAACATTTTAAGAATTCATTTTATACTATATTACTTGAACTATGGTGGTTGGTCGGTCGTCCTCTGAATGGTGGTGGTCAGTTGGTCAGACGGTCATCCACCAAAAGGTCATACTCAGTCGGTTGTTGATTCTCTTCAAAATTAGTGAAATATTTTTTTGTTATACATAGTAAGTCGCCGAGTCTCTTATTTCTTGGGAACGAAATACAAAAAATGTGGTAGCAACAATACATTAGTTATCTCCCTTAATTTTTAGCAATCTTTTGTGCCCTATTTTTGCTGGCTTCAAAGCATTTTTTTGCAACTTTTGAGTCAATTTTTACTCTGTGTTGGTTGGCGAGCTGGTCCCTAGGAAAACTATTGGTTGGTTTTTGGATATAATAACGTCTTGCTCGAGTCTTACTCCTCACTTGTCCGGTTTACTATGTTGGATTGTCGTCTCGGTCAGACAACATCTTTAAGCAGGTCTTAAGCAGATATTTATGTTGCATTTGTTGGAGTAATCGTCGAGACTTGCTAGTGTGGTGATTTGTGTGGTACCATTCGCAGAGCATGTCGCTATTGGACAGAGAACCACTTCCAAAGCTCTGTCTGTATCGTGCTTAGAGACGGGTTTTCAAATGCTTCGAGGGATGATTACTTTGTGCATCTCTGTGTTTGGAATGTTTTTATAGAGTATTTTCTCCCCCTTTGTGCACTTCTCTTCTTTTTGATGACATGATTTATGCTTGTGATCCTTTTCAGATTACTAAATCCAAATTTATTCTGTGAATTACAACCAATAAATAGAATGTTGGGAACTAGGAGAGAGAAACAAAAAGAGAGAGTGAGTGCATAAGGACTTGGCCCTAAGGGGCAAAAAAAATTATTATGGATCACTTTCACCCATTTTATTTTATTGAATGAGAGAGCTAAATATAGGTGAATCCCAAAAAGAGAGTAATAAAATATGAAACGGATATTCTATTTATAATTAATAGGACAAAAGATAGAAGTACAACATTATTACTGTTTGAAAGGGTTAGTACATGATATTTTGATTTTTTGTTTGTCAGAACTCATCGTTCGGGAGCTCATTAGTCGGAGGAGCTGGCCTTCAGTCAGCTGGTTAGTGAGCTATGTGGCGGTGGGCGGGCCGGTTGGCTTTGTGGTGACATACAAGTCGGTTGGTCTATTGCTTATGTGTGGCCGACTAGTCAGCTGACACTAATGGCCAGCTGGGAGGAGAATCGCTGACTCTCTAGGTGGCTGTGTGAGAGTGGTGGTCGGTCGATTGTCCATTGCACTTATTATTATTATTATTGATAGGGGCCAACAAATTTTTATCATCCGACACGAATTTCGAGATAATATTTTGAGCAAGAAATATTCAAATATTGATAAAAAATCATCCAGAACTCTAATTTCAGTAAATTTATGGTCAAACTGACCGGCTCGATGAAACGAGCCCAATGATATAAAAACTAGGCCAATCTGAGTCAGATCAAGCCGAGATCAAATCATTAAACCACTCTTAGAGAATTTCCAGAGGCATTTGAAAGGTCAAACAAATGTCGAATCTAGCGAGTTTATAGTCGATTCGAGCGTCTCGATAAGACGAATCCAACAAACCAACGAGCCCAATATTGCTCGATTATGATATCGTTAAGGCACTCAAATGTTCATCAAACGTCATTTGATCGAGGGAAGCTCTCCAGATCGTCTAATCAAAATGGCTCATATTACTGCATTAATTGTACCCAAAATAATAATAAATAGTGCCCCATCCCTCACATGAGAGGAAATGCTTGAGAGAAAACTTAAGGCTTTGAGAAGGAGTTCGAGTCCAACATCATCTCTGGCACCGCCGACTTCCATCGACCACTGCCGGCCACCGTCGACCACCCCCCCCCCCCCGCCTGTCGTCGACCATCGTCAGCCACCGTTAACCACCGTCGATCACCGCAAATCTCCATCGACCACCGAGCGTCTGCGACCACCGCTGACCTCCGTCGACCACCACCGACCGTCATTGATCACCGCCGACATTCTTCGATCACCGTCAACTAGACGTCGTTAACTGACGTTGTACCTTGGAAAATCTAGTAGCAATTTCCTGTCTGTGGGACAAAGGGGTCTCTGTTATCGTCGACTTATAGTGAATTTTTATAGCTGGGTCACCCCGTGATTTTTTCCCTTTAAGGGTTTTTCACGTAAAAACTTTTGGTGTCATCACAGCTTAATTCATCATCATCTGTTTTTCACGTAAAAACTTTTGGTGTCATCACAGCTTGATTCATCATCATCTGAGTGTGTGTTGAATCCTCGTGCAACGCTAAGACGATAATTCATTAATTTATCGTGAATCCTTATGCAACGCTAAGACGATAATTCATTAATTTATCACCGTGAATTTTCTAACATGCATCCATTATTATTATTTATTTTTATTTATTTTTATTTATTTTTTGAGCATCCATTATTATTATTTATTTTTATTTATTTTTATTTATTTTTTGCCATAGACTTTGTTATCCGCGAGTTATCCACTTCTAATTTGTTCCGTGCATATGAACGCTTCTAGAAGGAGGAGAAAATTCTAGAAAACCAAAACTAGCACGAAGAGGGTTAGTCATGACTCGGCACACTTACGTGTGAATATTCCCTTTCAATATCCAAGCCACCCTCGCAAGCAGCATCTTATGCGTCCAATCAAATCGCTCGTCCATCCAAAAACCAACGGCCAATCTATTATCCCGCATAGAAAATATTTTCCATATTGTCCATGATTTTACCGCAAGCTAAATCACACCACGTGTCAGACAGGAACCCCACCTCCGTACTCCTTCAGGAACCTTCCCGAATGTAAAACCGTATCGCAGTTTCTCGCGCCTTCCTTTTCCTTCCTATTCTCTCTCTTCTTCCTTCCTTCCAGAAATTTACTCTTCGTATCTCGCTTAGTTAATGGCTGCTCCGCAGTCGACCGGAGAATCGTCGGCGAAATCGACGGCGTCGGTCACGCCGGAAGCGCAGAGATCTATCCCAACGCCATTTTTGACGAAAACTTACCAGCTAGTCGACGATCCAGAGTTCAACGATGTGATCTCGTGGAACGAGGACGGATCCACCTTCATCGTATGGAGACCGGCTGAGTTTGCCCGGGATCTCCTCCCCAAATACTTCAAGCATAACAACTTCTCGAGCTTCGTAAGACAGCTAAATACCTATGTGAGTCCTCCTGATTTCCCAAACTAAATCAACAGCACTCTGTTACACTTAATAATAGTTGATTCGATCAATTATTGTTTGAACCTACAGGGTTTTCGAAAGATCGTACCGGATCGATGGGAGTTCGCGAATGATTCGTTCAAGAGAGGCGAGAAGCGACAACTCAACGAAATCCACCGCCGAAAGATCTCCCAGCCGGCGGGGACTCCGACCCAACCGTCGGCGATTCCAGCCCAGCCGGTGGCGATGGTTTCTCCGGCAAACAATATATTATCGCCGGTTAACTCAGCCGACGAGCAGGTGATCTCATCGAACTCCTCACAGGGAGCGATAGAAGCTTGCAGCAGCGAGGTGGAGCTGAGAGAGGAGAACGAGCGGCTGCGTCGCGAGAACGCCCGGCTATCGCATGAGCTTGGGCAGATGAAAACTCTCTGCAACAAGATCCTCCAACTCATGTCCAAGTACGATTTCGGTTATCAGATCGACGGTGGCGGAGCGGCGAGATGCGGCGGAGGTAGACCGGAAGCGGAAGGCTCGCCTGACCTAGAAATTTTCCCGGCGACGCCATCGGTGAAGAATGAAGCGGATGTGCTCCCGAGGCTTTTCGGCGTGGCGATCGGATCGAAGCGGGGGAGAGATGAGGAGGTCGAGGAGGTTCGGAAGTCGGTGGTGGATGTGAAGACGGAGCCGTTGGATTTAGGAGCGGATCGGACGGTGGAGGTGAGTGGACTAGGTAATTGGCGGTTGGGATGGTCCATAGGACCATGACCAATCAGAGTGCTTAAAGGGTTGGGCCGGCACGTGGCGGGTGGGGGTCAATGGCGCGAACTTGTTCAGTTTGTTAGGTTGTATATTTATTATTTAAGAATTAACTTTTTTAGATTTTTAAATTTACTAGAATATCATTATATTCGATTAAATTACTATTCATTTATTGAGCTTGATTAATTTTATTTTAATTCTATGAGTTGGAAATGACTCGAGAGCTGATTTAGCTGTTTTGTTTATTATAAAAAAAATGGTATTAATTTAAGATTTAATTATAATAAAATGATAAACATAATCAATTTTGAAGCTGAGGCCAACTTGGCCTCGAGTCCGCATGACTCACTTACTCATATATATATATATATATATATATATATATATATATAAGTCTTTTCATGCTCTCGAGTGCGCATGACTCACTTACTCATATATATATATATATATATATATATATATATATATAAGTCTTTTCACGGTGGTATGTAAATATGAGTTTAATATAATAAATGATAAATAATTATAAAAAAGTGATGTTATATTGGTAGAAATTCCTTTATGAATGAAAACTTTAGGTTTTGTTTGGTTCAGTTTTTATTTTTGAAATAATTTGTTTAAAATTTATTTTATAAAAAGTAATCTTTTAACGCTGAAGCCATTTAAAAAAATTACCATGCTAATGAGTATGATTATTTGTATGCAAATAATTAATAGTAATCATATTAAGTACAATTAATTATTAATGAAAAATGCTCTTAAACTTTGTTCACATGGAATTATAGAAATCTAATCCTTTGGAATTGCAATTAGTCAATGTTACACTAAGGGTCTGTTTTGGGCAGTTGTAGTTTCTCAATTTTTAAACTGCAGCTTAGCAGCCTGAGGAAACTGCTATAAAGAAGCTGCTGCAGGGAAACTGGCTGGTTGTTTGTTGCAGTTGTTTGAAAGAAGTTGTGTGACAGTTGTTTCTGGAGAAATGATAATTATGCCCCTGTTTAGTAAAGTTGCTCGTAACATAACTATGATAATCATATATTTAATACTTCATAAGCAAAAATTTAATTTAAAACAGTACAAAATTCATATACATAATTCACTTTACAGTGAATACCAAAAGTGTTAAAAAAACAAAAAAAAATATTATAGTCACAAGAATAAGTTAAAATTACTAAAATAAGCAATAAATTATAGTTTTTTGCAGGCTCGAGGTCAACCTTATGTTTTGATATAATTATGATTTATATATGTAAATATCAAAATTTAAGTATTAGGTATGTTAAGTACATAAGGAAATTGTGGTATGTATAAGAATTTCCCTACTAAATGATAATATCAAGACGTTTTTACTTGTTTAAGAATTATCAGGAAGAAAACACAGCTAGACATCTCTTATCTTATCCTTTTTTGAGAATGTTCCATCTTAAATCACATCTCAATTATCTAGAGAATAACCATCAAAAAAATTAAAACATAAATATTTCTCAATATGGAAAATTTCTAATTTGTATACCCCAGTGAAAAAATAAAGTTACAACCCTCCTTTCTAAAGATTCAGTTCCTTCCCAGAAAAATATTACATCAGGACTCCTAACGTAGAGCTACGTTCGAATTAGAATATCCGGCTGTGTTACGGGAATATTTCATCTGCGTTATTTGTAAAAATGATGTGTTATTCGAGTATTATATGGTGTTATTCGATTATTTTGTGGTGTTATTAAAATATTCTATCAAGTTACTTAATTTGGGGCTATGTTATTCGGCATATTCCCCGTGTTATTTCAATTTTCACTATGTTATTGGAATAACACAACCTCAAATCAAGTATTGCGAGAGAATATTTTAATAACACTTCAGCCCTAAAGAAAGTAACGTGATGGAATATTCAAATAACACCGCAAAATAATCGAATAACACATCATTTTTATAAACAAAGCAGATGGAGTTTTCCCGTAACGCAGTCGAATATTCCAATATGAACGTAGCTTTACGTTAGGAGTCCTGATGTAATATTTTTCCCCACATACAAAATTTATTTAAATAGTCGTAATCTAATATAGAAAATTTTCTAAAACTAAAATATCATATCACCAAAAAAAAGCTCTTTTAGGCATTGCGAAGGGAGTCAGATCCAACAGAATATTTCAATAAGCAAACGATCAAAGCTCTGTTAAGGCGTCGCGAAGGGAGTTGGGATCGAAGGTCGAAAAGCGGGGTTGAAGGTCGAACAATGGAGCTCGAAGGACAAACAACGTGGATTAGGGCATAACAGCGGGGCTCGATCAGTAAAAAGGCAACCACGAATGAGGGCTGCAGGGCTCGACCCGCAGCCAGCGTTTAAGCAAAAAAATCGGACGCGGCTGCCCTGACGCGCTCCCAGACATTGAACTTCGAGGCTGCTCCTGGCAGTGCTCTCTGAATGCGCTCCAGACGCCCTCCCAAACGAACCCTAAGGGTCTGTGTGGGGCAGCTGCAACTTATTGAATAATTTGATGATAAACTGATTAAAAATAATATGTTGATAAGCTGATTAAAAATAATCTGCTGATAAGCTAGGTGCGGTAGTTATTAGAAATTTTTATTTTTTTTTGAAAATTCAGACCGTTGTGTTTTCAAAACGCATAAGCTGCCAAAACATAGTTTAGCCAAATAGTTTAGGTGTGTTTTCAAACCAACACTACACCAAATAAGCTGCACCAAACAGACCCTAAGTTCATTCAATTTATAAAATTATATAAAGAGCATTTTTTTTTGGTAAGATGAGGCCATGGCTTAAAGTATTATTGCAAAAGAATAAATTACAAAAGGGACATTATATTTGGAATTCAATAACAAAAGAAAAAATAATACTAATATCAAAAGAAAGAAATAATGACAAAGTTAAAAAAAAAAACAAGTGTCATTAATAGAGGTGAAAATAATAAAAATGTCAATCATATTTAGTTAGTGTTAAAAGAATTCCATCTCTCAAATAAAAATTGGAATAAGGTTCTATTCGATATAGATAGACGAAGAAGTTTATGCTAAAATTTCATAACCATTGCAGAAAATCAAGATGATCAATAAAATTAAAGAAACTAACAAAGAAGAGTAGCATCTTTTTCTTCAGAGTTGCGCCTTATAAAATTAATGTGTCATAGCCCAAAAAATAAAGAAAAATAACTAACATAAAAGGCTTAGCAATTGGTTAAACTGAGTAGGTAGTAGGTTGCAGAGCCAATGGTTCTGTCAACTAAAGCTCCATCCAAGCCAGCCAAAACAAAATCAATTCACATTGAACATTCAATGAAGATGCTTTCAAGCTCGATATATTTTCTTCTTAAGAAATTTAGCGCGAATAATTGATTTGATCCTGAAAAGAACAATAGAGTTGTTGATAACATGGCTATCAAATTTCTTTAGGTTTTTCTCTTTTAATATATAATAAATAATATAATATGTAAAGTGAAAGTAAATTTTTTTTATTGACAGTAGAATCTTCACACAGATCAAATATATGCTGTAATATTTGAAGTAAAGAATTAATAAGAGCCATTTTTTTAATAATAATATGTATGATTATGCATAGAAGAGGTGGTTAACAATCTCATTTCTCTTATATCAATAACTACAAAAATTATGACAAGAGATATTTCTGCTCCAAAGAAAGTTTAAATATTAGAGAATCTATCTGAAAGGACCAATAATAGAGTTTAGAGTGACACTGGGAAAGCATTGGATATAATTAAAAAGATCACTATCAATAATCTCCTTATGACATATATCATTAATCCAAAGGATCCTAAGGAAGTATAATGTTGGAACCATAACCATTATCAAATGAAATAATAAATTTTATCTTATAAGTTATCTTTACAAAAAAAATAAATAATCAGTCATACAACTTTTATTCCAAAGGAATATAGTTTCCACAAAACCATTTAACAAGAAGGATTTTACTAATGTAAATATTGATTATAAACTAATATTAAATTTATAGGATAAAAAATTGTTTAAGAAAGATGTCATGGCCTCCATATCTTTTAATTAAATAAAATTTATCCTAAAAGACATTATGCAACTTTTTGTTGAAAATATAATTATCATGAAATAAAAATTTAGAGCATCAAGAATCAATAACTTTGAAGCACTATTTATGAATAAATGAAACTCTCAGTCAAAACATAAAAATTCTCCAATTAAATTTTAATAAGATAAAACCTACCTGCTAGAGATAATATCTTATCTTTATACTCCTTAAGAACAAATATCAAGCCATCAATTAAAGGAGCAAAGGAAGAAAGCTTCCTACTAGTGGTCGAAACATGCATGCCTAAATAAGTTAAAGACAGTCAAAACATAAAAATTCTCCAATTAAATTTTAATAAGATAAAACCTACCTGCTAGAGATAATATCTTATCTTTATACTCCTTAAGAACAAATATCAAGTCGTCAATTAAAGGAGCAAAGGAAGAAAGCTTCCTTGTAGTGGTCGAAACATGCATGCCTAAATAAGTGAAAGTGGGTTGAGAGAAAGCAAATCCTAAAATATTATTAAATAATAGGCATTATGAGTGTCTTTTGAGAAACAAAATAGATTCTTATTAGAGCTAACTTTGAGGTTAAATACTTTATAAAAAGCCTAAAAAAGTTGTGAAGGTTATAAGGTTAGCCTAAGTAGTTTACTAAAAACAACCGCATCGTCGGTATAAAGAATTTGAGATATGTAAAATCCATCTCATACCAAATAGGCTAATATTTATTTCTCTGGATACTTTGACCAATAAGATTATAAAATCTATATATTAAATATAAAATAAAAATGATAATAAAGGGCATTCTTGCCTTTGACTAGTGGTAGAATAAAAATATTATCCCGAAGTATCATTGAGGTTAATAGAGAATTGATATTATTAATACATCTTTAATCTAAGAAATAAAGAGAGGTAAGCCTTTTTGGACATTCAATGAAGAATTAAGTGATGATTGATGGTTTTTCTAAGCAAAATATTTTCTTATGTCAATATTGGGTCAAAATTTAGAGTTAGAGACACCAAAATTTTGAAGGATTTAATTTGCTAAAATGATATTATTAGAGGAAAATATCTTAATCATAAAACTAATTTGAGATTCTTGAGTGATAACTAGTAGAACAATCTTCAATCCATTGGCTAAAATTTTATCCACCAATTTATATGAAGTATT